CCCGTAAATCCGCAGTTGCAGTTGCAGTTCGCCTCCGAAAACCTCGGACGTGCTATAGCCGCCCACTCGGTCACCATCAGTTTCCTTCGGTTTACCCGACCCCAGCATGTGGGTACAATCGAGAACCGGGGACTGCCATGGGTTATTCCGAGACCGAATTTCACGGAACCTAGTGGCATCAACGCCGTTGACGTCGTAGTCGAAAACTTCTTCCGCCGATGCTGTTTAACAAAAACCCACGTTTCTCCCACCAGCGCTTTGCAGATGTTTCACCGCATCGCTCGTCGCCGGTCGATAAGTTCCCGAAGCTACGACGGCTACCACGCTCCCTTTTTTCTGAAGAATTTCCCGAGGTGTGCGTTTAAACACCGGGGGTCCTAGGCATCCTTGCCGCTGTGTTTCTTGCCAGGCAACTTCGAAAAGTGCCCTTCAGGCGAAGTCCCCCAACGACTCAACCGCACTCCAAGAAGCGAAGAAATACCCGCAGCTTCATATTTTTTTGGTCGTTTCACCCCCCGACAATTCCGCTTCCCGCCGTTCACCCAGCGTCCGCATTTTTCGGATGGGGTATAGTCGTTGTTGCCTGCGCGAACCCAGCCACGTTGGAGGGGCAAAAACTATCGGAGTCGGGGACCCTTAATTAAAAGGAACAGTTGCCCAACCGTTTTGCAGCCCACCGCGACCGTCACGCCACTAAACTCCACAGCATCCCGGTCCCCGCTCGCCGCTGCGTCGTCACCTCGTGTAGACGCCCGTGTCAGGAGAAACCAGCGAACTGCACCGTTGTTGTCATGCGGCGCCCCAATTTTTTCGCGTGCTGTTTCACCCAGCCCGCTTTTGTCGGAGTAGAACAGTGCCGCAACTCCCCCTTTTTTTTGTTTTTTCTGTACAGCTGTTGAACGAGCACCAACCCAGGTGCCTTTAACCAGCGCAAGGTAGGCCCGTGTTCACCCCCGTTATTCGGCCAAGTAGGTTGACTGCATGAGTCAGAACTAAAACTTGGTGGGGATGGTGAGGTTCGGGCGACGGAAGGTCACAGGCCGTTCACACCGGCTTTTAACCTGCCCTTCACGCCGTTTCTCGACCCCCGCTTAGCCGTCGGGCAGTTTCTTCCCGTGTGTCCCGGCGGCCTGTACCGACTCCTCCGTAAATGTCGGGGCAGTACGTTGAACGCCGTTTAATCGTGGGTCGCTTGCAGCTGTCCCCGAAAACGACTTCTCTGGTAGTAGAAACCGCTCTCGAAATTGCCGGCCAGCTTGCAACAACTCCAGGCACGCAGCATCGCACGAGTCGTTTTCCGAGGTTACCGGCCCCGGTTTCCCTCGTCGCATGCGCCCCACTTCTGCTAGGTGCGATATGGCCACTCCGTTTTTCGTTGCAGCCCGTAAGTGTCGGCGGGTCCGAAAATCCCGTCTGTCCACGTGCACTCCTGCCGAAATCTTCGATGACGCGCCCGCCATGCAGTAAAAGCCGCTGCACTTCAGGTCGGGCGGGACGGCAGTTAACTCCCGCTAAGTCGGGCAGTTTAGTGTCGTCTCTCCTCGTCCACCGATATTTTCGGACGCAAAACTCCATTTGCGCCTGGCGAGTTCCCCAGCCGACTTTTTCTCAACAGAAGCTCCGAAAATGTCGCCCTTGCTGACGCAGGCCCTTTGTCGCTAGCTGCCGAAGATCCTTCCGAAATCTTCGCGTAACTGTTGACTCAGGTCCGCCGGCGTCAACAGCCACACACAGTGACGACGTCGAGGCTGTTCATGCAGATGCCGACGCAGGTCCGCTGACGCCAGCTGCCACGCGAATAAACCTCCGAAATCGTCGGTAAATCGCAGCGGAAATTACTCACTTTAATGTCGCGACAGCTACAGCTGCCCGTTGCCCGGGGGGAGGGAGGCCACGGTCGATCGCGACCGTTCGAGGCAAGGATCCGGCGGTGCCAAGGAGTGCACGATAAATCCATGGCCGCGAAGAGCAACTAACCCGTTCTCTTGGCCGGCCTAGGCAACTCCTGGACCCCAAGACATCCTTCCTCGTCCCCCCCTCGAGTGGTACTACACTCTAAAAAGCGGGGTAGGCTAGGAAAGTAGCTCTGATACCAGGTGTTATGAATGAACTTGCAGAGTGCGCAGTAAAACGAATATCGAGAATGAACTGAGTACTGAATTACAGAATCACTGAATGAACAATGAAGTAGCGAGGCCTAAATAGGGGAAAAGCTAGCTAGGCGGGGAGGTTGGGCGAGGATGGCTCGGTGATGGTTGCGATTGGAGCGGAGGCCGACTCGGGAGTGGTTCGGTGCGACGAAATAGGAAGGTCAGGTTCGTCGCGTGACCCTCGGGATGGCCTCGCTAACGAGTGCCTCAGTAAGGATTTGTAAATCCTTACACATAACGTGAATTGTAAGGAATTTTCCCGAATTCCTTATCGGGGTTGACTGCTTCGCGTACAACCCGATTTTCGGAGTTCGCACGTCCGGCCGATTTCAACGCTGCCGAGGCTCCTCGCGTCGCCTTCGCCATTTCCATCGCCAAACTTGCACCCAACCTCGTCTTCCGAGGTTTCCTCCTAACTAGGCTAGCCCTACATTAGTCTGTGCACTCATTGTATTCTCAGTTCATTCAGTGACAGTCTCGTTATTCGTTTACCTGCGCACTCTCTTTTACAACTCATAACACCTGGTATCAGAGCTACTTTCCTAGTTCACCCCGCTTTTCCGAGGGTAGTTTGGTGGCATAGGGTGTGGCTGGTTTAGTGACTACACGACGGTTGGCTGCAGGGATTGTTAATTCAATCCTGCCCGACTCCGATAGTTCGTGTTTTCACTTGCCTGAAAGCCACGGAGACCCGACTGCCCACCAGACGTAGCGCTATGCACATGGATCAGGAGGCTGTTAACCGGATGATGGCGCAAGTGGCAGAGATGCAGGAGAGCATGAAGACATTAATGGCGGAAGTGACAACACTACGAGAGGAAAACGCCGAGCTACGCCAGACGCGAGGTGAAGCGCGTCAGGAGTCGCCTGTGGACGAAGGCGAGGGCAACAGTCAGGCGATGAGCAACCCACTGGATGCTCACACACGTGACTTCAAAGAAGAAGATAGGCAACGAGCGATAGCAGCGCCAGTTGCAGTTACGACGATCAAGATCAAGCCCGTCAACCCGCCCCCGTTTAATCCTACGGACAAGACAACTACAGTGAAGGGGTGGCTGTTCGGTGTCGAGGTCTTTTTCACGGCAGCAGGCGTTAACGACGATGCCACGCGTATTAATTACGCGGTTTCACTTCTTCGGGGCGCGGCGCTTGAGTGGTGGCGCCGGACCTTGGAAACATGGACTCCGACAGGTGTGACACATGCGGCAGACGGGACCTCTACAGTGGTTAATCAAGTGGCAGAACCGATCTTCGGTGTGACCAAGATACGCACGTGGAAGGAGTGGGGCGCAGCCTTACGAGATCGCTTCGAGCACGTATCCGCCTCGGAGCAAGCTCGCATGAAGCTGCGTGCATGGTCGCAGATGGCTTCTGTCCAAGACTACACGACGTCATTTATGAGCCTCGCCGACCAGATCGATGACATGTCGGAAGCAGAGCGGTTGGATAAGTACGTCAGCGGCCTTAAATATGAGATACAGTTTGAGGTCCGCCGAAGCCGCCCGACATCGTTCCTCGAAGCAGTACGCGTGGCGGAGTCAATTGATGCGCTGATGCAGTACGCGAGAGCAGCTTCCAGGGATGGGAGAAGCTTTCGTGGCCAGACCCATCGGGCCACGATCAACGCCGTCCATACACCCGACCACCTTCCTAAGTGTCAGAACATTATAGCTTACTTATTTATGTAGGCTATAGTGGGGTATCCCATAGGGGTTACAACCCCGTTAGGGTTTCCTATTTGTACTCACTTCGTTCATAGTTCACTCATTCTCTCGTTCACTTCTTCTCATGGTATCGAGCAGGTTCCCCTGTGGGAACTTTGCTTAGGGCCCACCACTTCGAAAACTTTTTTTTCCTGCCCTAGCGCCCTAGCGCCCACCCTAGCGCCCGCCCTAGCGCCCTAGCGCCCGCCCTAGCGCCCGCCCTAGCGCCAGCCCTAGCGCCCTAGCGCCCGGCGCCCACCCTAGCGCCCGTGAGCTGCCCGCGGCCTGCCCGTGAGCCGCCGCCCGTGAGCCGCCGCCCGTGAGCCGCCGCCCGTGAGCGCCGCCCGTTAGCCACCGCCCGTGAGCGCCGCCCGTGAGCGCCGCCCGTGAGCGCCGCCCGTGAGCCGCCGCCCGTCAGCCGCCGCCCGTGCGCCGCTCGTCAGCCGCCGCCCGTGAGCGCCGCCCGTGAGCCGCCGCCCGTAAGCAGCCGCCCGTCAGACGCCGCCCGTGCGCCGCCGCCGTCTGCGAAGCCGCCGCCCGTGAGCTGCCGCCCGTGAGCCGCCCACCCGCGCGCCGCCCGAACGTGAGCCGGCGCCGCCCGTGAGCCGCCCGCCCGTGCGCCGCCAGCCCGCCCGTGAGCCGCTGGCGCCGCCCGTGCGCCGCCCGTCCGTGAGCCGCCCGCCCGTGCGCCAATCGCCCGTGCGCAGCCCGTCCGCGAGCCACCCGCCCGCCCGTGCGCAGCCCGTCCGTGAGCCGCCCGCGCCGCCCGTGCACAGCCCGCGAGCCGCCCACGAGCAGCCCGCGAGCCGCCCCAGCCGCCCGTGCAGCCGCCCGTGAGCCGCCCCAGCCGCCCGTGAGCCGTCCGCGCGCCGCCCGTGACCCGCCCCGGCCGCTCGTGCAGTCACCCGTGCGCCGCCCGCGAGACGCCCGCGCCGCCCGAGCCGCCCGAGCCGCCCGAGCCGCCCGAGCCGCCCGAGCCGCCCGAACCGCCCGAGCCGCCCGAGCTGCCCGAGCAACCTGAGGTGCCGAGCTCCTGCTCCTGTGGGGCTGCTGCTGCTCCTGGACCGGCGCAGCCGCTGTGCTGCCGTGTTACTGTACTACTGAGCTACCCGACTCCTCCTGCCCGGTGAGACTGTCAGCTGCTATAATGGCCACCCCCAATGTCCTGGCTTTTGATGCTGAGGGTCGCGCCATTGACTTTGCAGTCTGGGTCGAGGACCTGCAGCTGTACTTACTGTGCGATGCGATAGATGAGGTTTCTCTCTTTGACTTTGTCTCTGGCGCTATCCCTGCCCCTCCTGCTGATGCTGACCCCACTGTTCGCTCCAAGTGGGCCACACGCGATGCTGCTGCACGTCTTGCTGTGCGTCGCCACCTCCCTTCCTCCGAGCGTGCGCACTTTAGTCAGTGCAAGACCGCTCAGGCCTTGTACGACGCTGTAGTTGCGCGCTACTCCTCCCCTTCCTCCGCTACGCTGAGCCGCCTCATGCTACCGTACCTCTTCCCTGACCTCGCTGCCTTTCCCACAGTCGCTGACCTCTTTACCCACCTCCGCGCTAGTGACACTCGCTACCGCGCTGCGCTTCCTGCTGACTTCCGCGCCGCAAACCCTCCTCCCATGTACATCACTCTCTACTTTCTAGTCACCCGTCTCCCTGAGTCCCTTCGTGCCGTTAGGGACCAGTTTCTCTCTGTTTGTCCCACCACCCTCACTGTCGACCTCCTTGAGAAGTCCCTGCTAGCGGCTGAGAAGAGTATAGTCGCTGTAGGGGCCTCTCGTGGTGACCCTCGCACCCCCATCTTTGAGGGGTGTTCTCCCTCCCCCCTGTTACCCTCTGTCGCCTCTGCTGCTGCGGCCGACCTCGTTGGTTTGGAGTCGGTCGGTGCGGCGTCTGCCCCCAGCGGTAGGCGCCGCTCAGGCAGGGGCAAGGGGGGCAAGGGAGCGGGTGGAGCTAGCGGGGGCAGTGGCGGAGGAGGTGGGGGCGGCGGGGGGAGTGGGGGTGGCGGTGGAGGTGGTGGCGGGAGTGGAGGTACTAGTGGCGGCAGTGGAGGCGGAGGTGGTGGCGGAGGTGGCGGTGGGAGCAGCGGGGGCGAGGGTGGCGGTGGCGGCGGTGGCGGCGGAGGCGGGGGTGGCGGTGGTGGAGGTGGTCGGAGTGGCTCGTCCCAGCGGAGCAGCACTGGGGGTGGTCAGCGCCAGCAGCAGCAGCAGCAGCGCTCTCGCGACATCCCCGCCCCTCAGCAGCTCCGTGAGTGGTACTCGCAGCGTCAGCGTGGTGGGGCGTTCGGTCCCTGCACCTACGTCCTTCGCACCGGCGACCGCGCGGGTGAGCAGTGTGGGGGCACCCACACCGCCCGCCGCTGCTTTGCCCGCTTGACCGACGCTTGGCGCCAGCAGTTTCCGGAGGCCTCTGAGATCCCCCGCTGGGGAGAGCTGTCTAGGGCTGGTGTAGCTATCTTTGATCTTGACTTTGATGCTATCCTTGCTGCCATGTATGCTGTGATTGTTAGTGATGAGGGTGACTGTTACCGGTGTTTCCCGCCCGACCCGGGCATTGGTACTGCTGTGTCAGGTGCCAGTGAGGCTGCTGCTCTAGGTGCCAGTGCGTCTGTGCTCTCAGGTACTAGTGAGTCTGCACTCTCAGGTACTGTGTCGGCTTCGGCCTCTCACACCTTCACCCTTGACTCTGGGGCGTCTCGCTCCTTCTTTCGGGACCGCACCACTCTCACGCCGCTTAGTCGGCCGGTTGCGGTGTCCCTGGCTGACCCCTCTGGGGTTCCTGTCCTGTCTCGTTTCTCCACAGTCCTCCCGTGTCCGGCGGCTCCCTCTGGCACCCTGACTTGTCTCTACCTCCCCTCGTTCTCTACGAACCTGGTGAGTGGTGCTGACCTACAGGATGTGGGTGTCCACCAGTTCACTCCTGCTCGTCAGCGGGTGACACACTGCACAGAGGCCAGCATAGGTCGCCACCTGGCTACGTTTACACGTCACCCAGGGTCGAGCCTGTACACACTGACCACTGCTTCTGCTCCAGGTGCTGAGTCTGGTAGAGTCCCTTCGTCTGGTCAGGTGTTTGCTGCAGCGTCCAGGTCTGGTCCTGAGTCTGCCCCCTGTTCGTGTCGCCGTCTGTCTCACGAGACCCTCCTCTGGCACCACCGCCTTGGCCACCCCTCTCTGCTTCGGCTCAGAGGCATGGCCTCCCGTCTTCTTGTGTCTGGTCTCCCCCGGTCCCTCCCTCCCCTTCCTCAGGGCCCTGGCCCTGCCTGTGTCCCCTGTGTCGAGGGGCGCCAGCGTGCTGCCCCTCACTCCTCCCAGTTTCCTCCGACAGAGGCTCCGTTGCAGACGCTTCACATGGACGTGTGGGGTCCTGCCCGCGTCCGTGGACTCGGTCACGAGCGCTACTTCCTGTTGGTGGTTGACGACTACTAGCGTTACACCAGAGTCTTCCCCTTGCGCAGCAAGGGTGATGTCACTGAGGTGCTGATCGACTGGATCCGCGCAGCTCGTCTCCAGCTCAGGCAGAGCTTTGGCTCGGACTTTCCTGTGTTGCGTCTGCACTCGGACAGAGGCGGAGAGTTCTCGTCTGGCCTTCTGCGTGCCTACTGTTGTGCGCGAGGCATCCGCGAGACCTTCACGCTTCCGGACTCACCGCAGAAAAATGGGATTGCAGAGCGCCGCATTGGCATGGTCATGGACGTCGCTCGTACGTCTATGATGCATGCGGCTGCCCCCCATTTTCTGTGGCCGTTTGCGGTCAGGTACGCGGCGCATCAGATCAACCTCCACCCCAGGGTCTACAGGCCGGAGACCTCCCCAGCCCTGCTGTGGACGGGGAAGGTTGGTGATGCGTCGGCGTTCCGGGTCTGGGGATCTCGGGCGTTTGTCCGCGACTTGTCTGCGGACAAGCTGTCCCCTCGCGCTGCTCCCTGCGTCTTCCTGGGGTTCCCCCCCGACGCCCCTGGGTGGCAGTTCTACCACCCCACCTCTCGACGTGTTCTGTCCTCCCAGGACGTCACGTTCGACGAGTCGGTACCCTACTACCGCCTCTTCCCCTACCGCACTCCGTCCCTCCCCCCGCCCCCGCTCTTCTTGGTACCAGGTCCCCCCCCGGTAGACCCCCTCCCCCCTCATGGTCCTGCCCCTTCAGGTGTGTCCCAGGTAGACGCGGTCGAGCCTGTCGAGGTCACTGGTGACTCTGGTCCTGCTGCGGGAGCTGAGCCTGGGGGTGCTGGGACTGGAGGTGCTACGCTTGGGGGTGCTGAGCTTGGGTGTGCGGAGTCTGGAGGTGCTGAGCCTGGGGGTGCTGAGCCTGGGGGTGCTGAGCCTGGGGGGTACTGAGTCTGGGTGTGCTGAGCCTGGGGGTGCTGGGCCTGGGGGTGCTGAGCCTGGGGGTGCTGAGACTGGGGGTGCTCCGCCTGGAGGTGCTTTGCCTGAGGGTGCTGAGCCTGGAGGTTCTTCGCCTGGTGGTTCTCCGCCTGGAGGTGCTTCGTCTCGTCGAGAGCCACTCTCCCCACAGGAGCTGCGTGAGTGGTTTGCCCGGCGCTGGAGGCGTGCTGCTGGTGCTGGAGGTTCTTCAGCTGCAGAGGGTGCTGCTGCCGCGCGTCCCGGAGGTGCTCGTGCTGTGGGTGCTGGAGCTGCTGGGCCTGCGGGTTCTCCTGGAGCTGGTGCTGCTGAGGGTGTTGGCGCTGAGACTACCGCTAACGGTCTGACTGGCGGTGCTCCTGGTGCTGCTGGGGGTTCCGGAGCTACTGGAGGTGCTGCTGGAGGTTCTGGAGCTACTGGAGGTGCTGCTGGAGGTGCTGCTGGAGCGGGTACTCCTGCTGGGGGTACTGGTGCTGTCCCTGCTGTTTCTGGCGTCGCCACGCGGCCCCGAGCGTACTTCGTTCCACTCCTGCAGCAGGTTCTTGGTCTTACACCTTCTCCTGGTCCTCCTCCTCCTCCCTTAGAGGGTCCACAGCCTGTCCCGTCACAGTCACAGCTACAGCCTGCCTCCCCTTTGCCTGCTCCTTCTCCCTACGCTGGTCCGACTGGAGGTCTTACTGAGCGTCGTGAGCCTGCGTCTCGTCCTGCGTCGCCTGTTCGTACTGCGCGCACTAGTGGTCGCGGTTCGCGTCAGCGTCCTCCTCCTGTCCCTGGCACGCACCGGATGTCTCTGCGTCCGTCCACTGCGTGCCCCTTTGCCTTTTCCTCCTGCTTCCTCTCTTCCTGCCCTTGTCGACCCAGAGTCGGACTCTCTTCGTGCTGCCAGTCCTACTGTCACGCGTCTCCTTGCTACTGCTGTCACTGACCCTTCTTTCGAGTCTTCTGCTGCGTCTGCCCTTGTCACTGAGCTCGTCGACTTTGCTGCGCGCTGTCGTCTAGACTACGCTGCTAGTCTTGTCACTGAGTCTGAGTCTGCCTGTCCTCCGTCCGTCGGGGGTGAGTGTGCCCTTGGCACGGACGTCCTTGAGGACAGGCAGGAGGAGTTCCAGTGTCTGGCCGCCGCTTCACCTCATCTCGCGTCTGTACTGCTAGCCCCTGAGGGAGACCCGGATGCACTTGACATCCCGACTCCGCGCTCTTACGCGGAGGCGATAGAGGGTCCCTACTCCTCTCAGTGGCAGGCAGCTATAGATGCAGTGATGGCTTCCTGGAAGTCCACAGGCACCTACGTTGACGCTGTTCCCCCTCCTGGGGCGAACATCGTCAGTGGCATGTGGATCTTCAGGGTGAAGCGGCCGCCGGGTTCTCCGCTTGTCTTCAAGGCGCGTTACGTGGCTCGTGGTTTCAGTCAGCGGCAGGGAGTTGACTTCTTTCAGACCTTCTCCCCGACCCCGAAGATGACCACTCTTCGAGCACTACTGCACATTGCTGCTCACCGTGACTACGAGCTGCACTCTCTCGACTTCAGCACTGCTTTCTTGCTGGGCAGCCTGCACGAGGAGATCTGGCTGCGCCGCCCTCCTGGCTTCACTGGGTCTTTCCCTCCTGGTACCCAGTGGAGTCTCCGGCGTCCAGTCTACGGTCTCCGCCAGGCGCCACGTGAGTGGCACGACACACTGAGGACTACGCTGGCGGCACTTGGGTTTGCTCCTTCTACTGCCGACCCGTCGCTGTTTCTGCGCACCGACACCTCTCTGCCGCCGTTCTACATCCTCGTGTACGTCGACGACTTGGTCTTTGCCACAGCTGACACTGCTGGACTCGCTCACGTGAAGTCCGAGCTGCAGAAGAGACACACGTGCACTGATCTGGGTGAGCTGCGCAGCTACCTTGGCTTGCAGATCACCCGGGACAGAGCACGCCGCACCATCACCCTGACTCAGTCACACATGGTGCAGCAGGTCCTTCAGCGCTTCGGCTTCACGTACTCCTCGCCTCAGGCCACTCCTCTGCCTACTCGCCACTCGCTCTCAGCTTTGCCTTCGGATCAGTCCGTAGAGTCGAGTGGCCCGTATCCAGAGCTTGTCGGCTGCCTCATGTACCTGATGACCTGCACGCGACCTGACCTTGCATACCCTCTTAGCATTCTTGCACGCTATGTTGCTCCTGGGAGACACCGACCAGAGCACATGGTTGCAGCGAAGAGGGTGTTGCGCTACTTGTGCAGTACGTCGGGCATGGGGCTAGTGCTTGGAGGGCGCAGTCTAGTGGTCCTCACTGGGCACGCGGACGCTTCTTGGGCTGACGACGAGGCTACACAGCGGTCGTCACAGGGTTACACCTTCAGTCTTGGTTCCGGCTCTGTTTCGTGGCGGGCTACCCGCTCGTCTTCTGTTCTCGGCTCCAGTTGTGAGGCTGAGATCTACGCCGGGGCTATGGCTTCTCAGGAGCTTCGCTGGCTCACCTACCTGCTTACCGACCTGGGAGAGCCGCCTCGTTCTCCTCCAGTCCTGTACGTAGACAACAAGGCCATGCTGGCCTTGTGTCGAGAGCAGCGACTAGAGCACAGGACAAAGCACATTGCTCTCCGCTACTTTCTTGCGCGTGAGCTGCAGCAGCGTGGACAGTTGCGGCTTGCGTACGTGGCCTCTGAGGCCAACACCGCTGATGTCTTCACCAAGGCACTTGCGCCTTGTGATCATCAGCGCTTCTGCACTCAGTTGGGACTTGTACCTGTCTTACCTCACTTGCTTACTTCTTGACCTTGCTTGTACTGTCACATATATATACTCTTGCTCTTGCTTGTTTAGCCTCTTGTATACCTATATATGTGCTCTTGCATGTGAACTGGCCTTTTGGCCTTTGAACTTGTGCTCGGAATGTGTGGTGACTTTGTGATCCACCCTGAGCTTTGCCTTGCTTTGCTTGACTGGTCTTGTGACCCCTTGTTTTCCCCCACTTTGCCTATGGGGGTGTGTCAGAACATTATAGCTTACTTATTTGTGTAGGCTATAGTGGGGTATCCCATAGGGGGTACAACCCCGTTAGGGTTTCCTATTTGTACTCACTTCGTTCATAGTTCACTCATTCTCTCGTTCACTTCTTCTCACTAAGGGTCCGTGTTTTCGGTGTGGGAAGGTGGGGCACTACAGGAAAGACTGCCAGGAGAAAATGCCGCTGACAGGGGACGACAGCAAGGAGCAGGGAAATGGGAAGAGTCAGTAATTAGCGGGCCCTTTACTGACTGTGCTCCGTCGCCCGAACACCATCATCCCCACCGAGTCGTGGTTCCGATTCATGCAATCGATCGCACTCGGCCGAATAACGGGGATAATCATGTAGATCACCCTGTGCTGATCGCTGGCAAGGTGTTAAAAAATAATCTGAAAATGTTCGTCGATGGGGGGGCCAGCCATAGCCTCTTCAACTTGGCGAGCGCAAAAAGATGCAAGCTGCAACTTGACAGGTGTCTGCCCAAAATTGACGCTTGCCTCGTGGATGGGACGCCTCTGGCGATAACGGAAGAAACACGGACGGTCAGGATCGACTGCGGCGACGATTTCGGCTTCAGCATGAAGTTTCTCGCGACAACATTGGACGGCTGCGACGTACTGCTGGGACGTGATTGGCTGCGACGGCACAACCCCGTCATCGACTGGACAACGGGATCGTGCAGCATCAGCAAGCACGAGGGGTTAATAAAATTACCTGCATGGACACCTGACTACATCCAAGCCCCGTGCGTCAAAGCTATCACTATAGCTCGCCACTTCAACAGAGGTGCACAGCTGTTTGCTGTTTGCTTACGCGAGTTGGCAATCGACACCGAGGGAAAGGACATCGAGAAGCTGTGTGCAGCTGTACCACCGGATTTAGCGGAGCTGATTCGGAGATACCCGGAAATTTTCCCCGACGACCTGCCACCTGGACTGCCACCCGAGAGACCTGAGGACCACAAAATCCAGCTGGAACCTGGCGCGCAGCCGACTGTTCAGACACAATGGCGGTTGACCCAGCCGGAACTCGAGGAGCTGCGAAGTCAAATTGATGCACTGTTGGAGAAGGGGTTTATTCGGGCCAGCACATCTCCCTTCGCAGCACCGATCCTGTTCACTCCGAAGAAGGACGGCGGGCTTCGCATGTGTATCGACTATCGTGCGCTGAACCGGGTCACCATCAAGTCTCGCTACCCAATCCCACGCACCGACGACCTCCTCGACCAACTCCGCGGCGCTCGCTATTTCTCGAAGATTGACTTACGTGGCGGTTACCACCAGATCCGAGTCTTCACCGACGACCGTCACAAGACTGCGTTTCGCACACGCTACGGGAGTTACGAATTTACAGTGATGCCTTTCGGCCTCACAAACGCGCCTTCGACTTTTCAACTGACCATGAACAGGGTTTTTCGGGATCTTCTAGACCGTTGTGTCATCGTCTACTTGATCGATATCCTCATTTATAGCAAGACACGGGAGCAGCACCTCCGAGACCTGGATGAAGTGTTTAAAAGGCTGCAGGAAAACCGACTCATAACCAAGGGCTTTAAGTGCGAGTTTTTAAAGCAAGAGTTGGAGTTTTTGGGGCACGTAATCTCGCGCGACGGCATTAAAATCGACCCGGCGAAAATCAAGACCATACAGGAGTGGAAGTCCCCGACGAACGTCACGGAACTCCAGAGTTTTCTCGGATTCGTGAATTACGTCCGGCGTTTTATACCAAATATGGCGGGGATAACCGGCCCGCTGACCGACCTGCTGCACAAGGACAAAAATTTTGTGTGGGGGGAGGAGGCAGACGCGGCTTTCCAGGAACTCAAGAATTTTCTAGTTTCCCCTCCTGTACTGCGCATCGCCGACCCATCGAAGCCGTTCGAAGTTGTAACCGACGCCTCAGATTTCGCCATCAGGGCTGTGCTTCTCCATCAGTACGGCACGAAGCTACAGTTCTCAACGGCATATCACCCACAGACGGACGGTCAAACGGAGCGGACCAATCAGACCATGGAGCAGCTGATCAGGACGAACTGCCCCGACCCGGCCCGCTGGGAGGATTCACTCGCAATGTTGGAATTTGCTTTCAACAACGCGCCGTCCAGCACGACTAATCACTCCCCGTTTTTCCTGAATTACGAGATGGACCCGACGGTTCCTACCACAACTTCTCTCGACAACCCGGTCCCGAGGTCACAAACTTTTGTGATGGAACTCCAGGAAACCTGAGAAAAGGCAGCCGACGCAATTCGCAAGGCGAATGCCACTTCCCGCAAATACGCAGATCTTCTACGCCGGGAACTCGTCTTGACCACTGGGCAATTAGTACTCCTTGACACGAAGAACCTGCACCTGCCCGGCGCGTCGAAACTACGGCCACGATTTTGTGGGCCGTTCAAGATAATCAAAATGGTGACACCTGTCACCGCGAAGCTGTTGCTACCCGACGACTGGCGAATCCATGACGCCTTCCACGTCAGCCTTCTTTGCAAGTTCGTGCCAGCCACGACCGAACTCGCCCGTCAGCAAGCTGCCCCGACAGAGCGACCTGTTCCTGAGCCAACCCTTGACCCTTCGAAAATCTTGGCTCATCGGGTCCGCCTTGACGCAGCTGGCCGACACGTGGATTTCTTAATCCGCTGGACTGACCGCACTGGTGAAGACGACACGTGGGTGCCATCCGCCTCGCTCGACGCC